TTTGCTTTCTTATGAAGTTCGTTGTTTTCCCTTTGAGCTAATCACAGGTGGTCCCCATACTAATATCTTCAGGTGATTCTAATTGGTCCTTCTGAGAGAGAAAGTTAAAGACTTTAGTTTTTAAGTTTTTAAGAGAGCTTTTGAGAAAGATTAAGGCTTTTAAGAGAGATTTTCCCCCAAATTTTCCAAGAAAAGCTTTATAGTTTAAGAGAAAGATTTTTTTTCCCCAGGAGAAAGACCAACTTTTCCCAAAACTTCTGAACTTTAAACTTTGACTTCTTACACCCCCATTTTTGCCTCAGGGAGAAATCACTTTCTCCTGCCACTTGGACTTAGCATTTCAGCTGTCTTCAGGTCAAAAGCTTCCAAAGGAAACTTTTTCTTCGCCATAAGCTCAGAGAAGAGCTTTTTTACTACCCATAAAGCCCAAAGAAAGATTTTTCCCCCCGTTTGCATTCATAGCCCCCAAAGTTAGAAAATTGTAGAGTTTTTCTGTCTAGTTGCCTTATTTTCTACACAATCTTACACTTCTAAGTTTTTCCTACACTATATTACTACACTATACCTTATACTTATTTTTCACAGATAGAAATTGAGAAAGGGATAGAAGATAGAAAATTTTGACAGAAGAGAATTTCGCTGCAGCATCGGACATCCTTCCAGTCCGCTTTCCTTTTCTCTCGAGAATAAAACCCCTGCCTCTCAATAATATATATAAAAAATATATATTTTCTATAACACCGGCCTGCCTTATCCACTGGCAGGGCTGAACTCAGCACTTTCGCCAAAAACTCTGTAATAAAACTATTATTTTCCTTTATCTTTAGTCCCTATTACTTTGTCTTTAGTCCCCCTTTTGTCCCCCCTTTTTTTCTTTAGTCCCTGTTCATGGCACCATTCTGTGGGACATTTACCCAGCAACACCACAGCTCCCCAGAGTTTTCTTGAGTGTGAGCAGCAGGAAATATTAGATAGAAGGACTTATTGCGGAGAATCTTGTGGAGATAAACAGATAGAAAATAAAGGCTAGCCTCAAGAGGGCCTGGAACCTATTCCAATGGGCCCCGACTGTCTCTGCCCCAGGGTTTTTATAGAGACGCCAAGGGGTGGAGCAAAAGACCTCCTCCCCCAGCACAGCCAAGTGCAGACCATCCCAGACACCTGCACTCAGGCCCGTGGTCTAATCATCCTCTATGCGGACATGCTGGGTAAAGCCACGAGGAACCTGAGAATGGGCTCCCACACTTGAGGACCTAATGCAATATCCCATTTTACAAAGAGTTATAAATAGTGGGCTAGTGTGGAGCTCACTGGGGAGTTCTTGTCTAGCTTGTGAGGGTCTGTGGGCTTGAACCCTAGTACTATATTGGTGTGTTATTTAAAATTAACATATGACATAGATGTTCCAATGCTGCTGTCAACAGAAAGTACAAAACTGTGCTCTTGAGAAAGCACATGTTTAGCTTGATAGTGAGCAGCTGGTTAGGAAGTTGACACCATGAAGACAGGTTATGCTTTTGCTTTTAAAATTTACTTGACATGTGCATATCTTTAGTGATGTATCCATATAAACAAATACAAAAATATAAATGCGTATGTGAAGGATGCACATACTGACTGGACATATAGGATGCTTAAGAAACTTTGGGTTTGGACGACATGAACTTGTGTAAGGGTCTTCTGGACACTGTTATCGACACAGTCCAAGCAGTGTGCAGCACTTTTGTCAATACCAATTACTATCTTTGTCAATTTAATAACTGAAAATTAAATATTCCCCTTTATAAGTTTTCATTTTTAATTTATTAATGAAGGTAGAAATAGGTAGCCTTCTTATTTTGAGTACCCATGCACCTAGAAATTCTAACCAAGTATGTGGGAAAATAATATGATATGGTGTTTACTGTATTGTTATTTTTAGCAAAACAAGAGTGGAAAGCAGCTTAAAGACTTACTAACACTGAGCTCACAGACCACGTTACGGCATAGTCTAGAATCGAGTAATTCTTCAGGTATTAGAGGCTAGAATGTGAGCTGATATAACTTGCTAAGTAAAAGGAGATTATTAAACCATCTACTGCATAATCACATTTTTTGAATAGCTCCTTGGAAAACAAACTGAATAGATACAGATAAAATATAAACAGAGGCTATCTCAGAATAGTACATGGGTTAATCACTGTGATGAAATTCTGATATAGAAATCTTTAAAAAGGGGGTTTGTTTATTTTGTTTTGAGATAAGATCTCACTATGTACTCTGGGTTACTGGCCTGGGGCTCATCATTGTCCTGCCTCAGCCTCCAGGTGCTTAGATTACAGATGCACACTGCAGTGCTGGGCTCATGGAGGAAAGACCTACTTTCTCTACAGGTTCAGTGGTCAGCTGATGGTTTGCAGAGCCCGTGGCTGTGAACATGAAGCAAAGCTGGACATATCCAGGAACATGTAAAAAAAAAATGCAATTTTTTTCATGGCAGACAGGAAGCAGGGAGAGAAATTGGAGGAAGGGCAGGGAAGAAGATATATCTTCTCAGAGCATGCCTCATTGACTCAATTCCTCCTGACAGGCCCACACGTCCTATTTCTTACCACCCCCTAATAATGCCCTTCTACTTTGTATCCATCTAGGAATTAAGGCAGAGCTGAGGGTGGAACCCTCAAGATCCATTCACTTACCCAGAGCCCCCCTTCTTAGCTTGTGATTCTAGGAACTTAAGTCTCAACACACATGAGATATTTGGGAGAAAACCTCACGTACAAAGCATGACAGCTAGGACTGTGCTTTGTTTTCCTTTTGGGTTATAGTTCCCAAATTTTCTATATTTGCAGCACCATATTGCTTACAATAATTATGAAAATTACATTTTTCTTTATTAAAAATACCTATCCATTTCTGGTCAGCTCCACGAGGCAAAGGACTATGAACAAATATTGTGTTTCTTTCTGTTGCTTTGTTTTCTTCCCTCTAGGACTATTAACTATAGTGCTTGGCAAGCAAAGAGCTCAATTAATTTTTTAAAAATGAAATCACAATACTTTAAGAAAAAAGCTATAGGAAAAAATAGAATGGTCATTATCACTATTTCCTCTGTGCATATCCTTAACAAATTATCAAACTCCCAGTTCATAGTCTAGCACAGATAATAGTATTCCCTGGTTCTCAGCACACCAGTGTACTTATCTCCTCTTGAACAAAAGGCTTGATCTACATACAGGAGCAGTCTTCAAGGGTTATATAGTATTTTGTGAGAATTATTATTAATAAAGGAACAAGTTAATTTATTTACAATGCAAACACAGGGTGATGATGGGCTAGCAGCATCCAGATTTGAAATTTGTAGATAAGTGGCAAAAAGTTGATAAGGATTATGGGATACAGTTATTGCCAAATATAAACATTTAATGACATAAAAAATGAAGGCAACAGATATTCATTGCCTTATTCTTCAGATTAAGGGATAGACTTTCTTAGCTGGAATGATCTATTGGGCCTATTCCCCAGAAATTACCAGAAAGAAGACCTCACTGTGACACTTTAACATGCCCTTCTTTGAGATTTTATACACAAAACTCTTCAACAATAGCCTTCATGAATTATGTGATGTCAAACAATTTTATTTAAGTTACAAGTCATTCAAAGAATGATTCAATAGTATAATATAAAATTTGATGGTTGGTATAGAAATACATTATACTGAATTCCACAATTCCGACTGCTTTACTGGAGGCCAGACTGGTCCTAGGGACCCCAGGTAAGACACCCTCAATGCCTGCAAATACTCCTTAAAGCCTGCCCAACAGCCCCAGACTGCACCCTCTCTGCTGGGCTCCATATTCCAGCCCACAATTTCAGCAGAAGACCTGGTTTATCTGAGGCCAGGCCTGTTCTAGAGACCTGAGGTCAGACTCCACACACCACCTGCTAACACTCCTTAAAACCTGCCAACATCCCCAAGAGCATCCCCTCGCCTAGGCTCCATATTCCAGCCCACAACTTCAGAAGAAGACTTCTGCTTTACTTGAGGCCAGGCCAGTTCTAGGGACCTAAGATAAGACACTGCCCACTGCCAGCTAACACTCCCTAAAGCTGGCCCAACAGCCCCTAATCGCACCCCCTCCCCTGATCTCCATATCCCAGTCCACAACCTCGGCAAAAGACTTCTGCTTTACTGGAGGCCATGACATACTCGGAATCCCAGAGACCAAGCAGGTACTCAGTACCCCAGAGGCCACACAGGTACTTGGAACCACAGAGACAAAGTTGGCACCCCAAATCCCAGAGGTCTTGAAGGTTGCAAAAACCCTAGCAGAGACACCCTACCAGACCTGAAGACTCACTAGTCACCAGAATCCCTGGCCACTTAGGCCAGAAGACCAGAGAGAAAACAGAAACTAAGGAATCAAACACCCATCAAATAAAGACAAACATAGGAATCTATACCTAGACTATAACCATCCCAAACCCAGATGCCTAAATGTCAGTGTGAGAACACAATCAACAACAGAAAGGGCAATATGGCACCACCAGAGTCCAGCTATCCTACTACAGCAAGACCTGAACATTCCAACGTACCTGAAGCACATGAAAACAATCTTAAAACCAGTTTTATGACGATGATAGAGGTCCTCTGGAAGAGCAACCAGTGGTCTTAACTGCTGAGTCATCTCTCTTGTTCCTCAGTTTTAATCACAACAATGTGCTTATGATTTATTTTTTTTGTCATTTATTTCTGCCAGAATGAGCTTCTCTGAAATTATTTTCATCAAGAATTCTCATGCCATGTTTTACCATCTGAATTTGGATAATTTTCTTCAAGTATTAGTGAAGTGTTGTCTTCTACTTCTGAGAAGGGTCTTACTATTGTATAGGCAGACCTCAGACTTGGCTTAATTAAGCATTGCTCCTGGCTCAACTTCCCGAGTAGCTGAGACTGCAAGAACATGTTGCCTATGCTTAGGCTACATTTCCAGTATTTTCTAGTAAAGACTATATACAAGTTTAGGGAACACAAATGACTTTATTAAAACATCCCAACAAATTTTTATAACAGTTAAAATGAGAGCAACAATATAACATCAAGAAAGTAACAAGTTTTATGAAAAGCTAAATACACAAGAACAATGGCTATGACAAAAAATGAAGACTCCTATCTCGCCAACGGGAAAAGTTCAGGGTGATCCCTTATCAGAGCAGCTTGGAAAGAAAGTAGAAGGACAATTCCGATATTCTTAGGTGACATACTATCTTTAGTGTTTATAAACTTCCTAACATAAATGAGTGGTGAGGACACCAAATGTGGGGTGATGGTGATGATACAAGGGCATCAAGGGTTATTAGTCTATAAATTTCTATTTAACATCCATACCCTTCCTTAAGTAGGTAGGTCTATACTTTTATAAATCATCTGTCCACCTATGAAGAACAGGCTTTTGGGAGAGAACAATATAACCATTTTTTCTTAGACATCTGAACTAGCTTGTTTCATAACATAAATATGCCATTCTGTTAGTTTTTATCTTCAATGACATATGAAAGATCTAAAATCAAATTGGCTGTCTCTACAGCCACCTGTAGGCCACTAAGCTTGGCAGTGAAACAGTCCACAGTCAGGTTGCTGGCTGAGCCCACAGCTGTCTGGGAAAGGCAGGTTTGTGGTGCAAAAGGATGATGAGTGCTTTTTAAGAAAGACCAGCTGAGTCCTTCCTGGCTGTTGTATAAGCCACAGCCACATCGTGACAGCATATCTGGCCAGTGAACAACAGAAGCAGAATCTGATTGACCTGACCAAAAGTGGCCATACTTCATGTCAATGAGGATTTCACCGCCATCGTGTTCCAAAGAGCCAGCAACGGACTCCAGAGCCCTGCAAAATGCTTCAGCAGCAATCTGGAGTTCTGCTCGAGAATAACCAACCTCTTTGACAATGTCTTCTGCCTCATTATGAACCTAGAGAGGAATAAGACCAGTGAAAACATACAGATCAACTAATAGAAAAATGCTTCAGAAAAACATCTGAATTTTAAAAAGTTAATTACCAAAGGTTCTTGGGTATTATGATTTGGTCATTGTCTCACAAAACAAAAACTGCTGAAAATTTAAGTAATGTGAGCAGGATGTCTAACTTACCTTGTGTCTGATATGAGCAGCCAAATGTGTTTCTGCACAGCCACCTCCCAATAAAACCCATGGTTCCTTGATTGTTAGCTGCAAGGCATGCATTGCTGTTTGACATGTGAGCTAAGGAAGAAACAAATTAGAATCAGGATCTCACTGTGGTATGTGAACTGTCCCATGCTCTCATAGTAACTTAGACTGTGAACTCAGAGCCCTATTTTTAATTTTTAACTCTCTCTCTCTGTGTGGCAGGGGAAGGTGCATGCCAGGACACATGAGTAGAGGACAGAGGGCAACTTGTGGGAGTCTGATTTTTCTTTCTACTGTGTGGGTTCTAGGAATTGAACCCAAGTCATCCAGCTTGGTGGTAGGTGCACAGATTTTTCTTTAATCTAAAAAGGCTGTGTGTGTGTGTGTGTGTGTGTGTGTGTGTGTGTGTGTGTGTGTGTGTGTAGGGAGTCTGTGTGCACATGTGCTATGATATAGGTGTAGAGGTTAGAGGACAACTTGTGGGAGTCAGGTTTCTTCTTCCACCACATGACTCCTAGGAATTGCACTTGGGTCATCAGGCCTGGTATTCAGTATCTTTATGCACTCAGATATCTCCATAGCACAAAAGGTCCAGATTTTAATTCAGAAAGAACAAAATCTATTTATCAAAGTAGTAATGTGACTAATAGCATTTACAATAAAGATTAGAGAATGAAGAGGCCATAAGTCTGTTTTCATGGAATTAGATTAATATCTTCTTTCATGTCTACTTTGCGCACAAACATATGGCCTAAAAACATCTTTGATAATGAGGCTTGCTGGTCCTTCCATTAAAATCAAAGTCTAAACAAGTAAGATGTACAAATACCATAAAGTCTGTTTAGAAATGATAGCACCAAGCAATAGTAAGTAAAAAACATGCAAATCTCTGATTTACTAAGGATGAATCTTTAAGCATATATTAATTTTTAAACTCACAATTCTGTATACTGTCAGTTTGCTTATATAAAACTGGAGAAAACAATAAACTCTAAGAAGTGGGTGACTGGGAAATTCACTTTCTGAGTAAATTATTCATACACATTAGCAGCAGTACACAACAGTCCAGGCGTGTTCAACCTGTGGTGTCTGGGTCACATGCCGCCCAGAACAGCTATGATTGTAGATGGCAATGTGGCATCATGTCAAGAGGTAGGCAATTCAAGCCATTTTTTAGAAAATTTTCCCATCAAGAACCTCTAGGTTTCTTGTAAAAAGCAGAAATGATAAGTGGTACAACACCCTCCAAGTTTACTGTAACAGCCAATTAAATTAACTTCCTTGAGCCTTTGCCTCTCCTCTTCCCTCCTTTGGTGTTGGGATTGAACCTTGTATGTACCAAGCACATGCTCCACTCTTGAGCTGTATCTCCAGCCCCCATTTCTGTCCCTTTTTGTTTTTACTTATTATATCACTATGGAAAGTCCTGGGAAAAAGTGAAAAACTAAAACACCGCAGCCCTCAACCTGCAGCACCTGCCATGTGACTGCTTCTTCCCTGCTATAGGCCCTGGAAGTCCACCTACCTTCAGCTCCTCCCAGGCAGTGTCATTTCTGCCGCAGAGGAGCAAGCTGCAGACAGTTGCCTCATTAGGAATAAGATGGAAAAAATGTTTGGAGCCAAGTCTTGCCGAGCACACGTCTTTTATACTTCCGTAAGTAGAAGAAGCTATTGTGTTTAGGGAACCAATAGGCATTGCTCCTATTTTTGTAAAGTATGGAAAATACAAACTGTATAAGCAAAGATGGAACTCTTAAAATGAATAAATATCAATAAAATTCCTAGCTAGTATAAACCCCCCACCAAAGCTTATCGTTTAAAATATGAAATAAAGAATAAAGAAATAAAATGCATCTTCTTAGATCTCTGAAATTCACATTCTGCTATTTAAATGATATATTCCTGCTGGCCTAGAATTAACAATGTAGACCAAGCTGGTCTTGAACTTGTAGTCATCCTCCCACTTCAGCTTCTTGAATGTTGGGATAACAAATGAACACATGGCTATCTTTGCTTGTTTAGGCTGTTGGTTTATGAACTTTTGTCATTGCTGCCTTTCCATTGCTGTGATAAAATGCTCCATCAAAAGGGGAAAGGGTCATTCTGGATCACAGTTCCAGGTCACAGTTCACTAGAGTAGAGAAGTCACAGCAGCATGAGCTCCAAGCACCTATTCTTACTACACCCACAATCAGGAAACAGAGGGATGTGCGCAGGCAAGCTAGTGCTTAGCTTGCCTTCTCAACTTCTTTTATCGCCTAGGAACTCCTACCCAGGGAATAATGCCTCTCACAGCGGTCAGGTCTTTCTGGCTCAATAAATGTAACCAGGCAGACTGGTATTATTTATTCATTTAATTGTGTGTCTATTTAATTGTGTATTGTAGAGCACATGCCCAACATGTGCTCTACCACTGAGCTATATTCTCAATCTTACAGTCCTATCTGAAAATCTGTTAAAACCTATTTTATACTCTCAGAAAAAGGCACACAAAAAATTGCATGTATTTTTAGGAAGTCTAGGATTCCTGAAAGCCTACTTAGAGATCAAAAACGCCACATTAAGAACCTCATTAATTTTGAAAAAGGGTGAGAAATGTCCTTTTTTAAAAAATTCATTTGTTTCTTTAGGAGAGCTACATAGGGGATACATACACACACACACACTTTGCCTAGGAGCTTTTTTTAAAAAAAATGTAAATAGGTATGCAAGTGCCAAAATAAAGAATATAACATACTTATTTCACTATACTATTCTTGATTTATTTGTTTATTACCCCACTATCATGGGGAAAAGTACATAAATCATAAGTTAAAACTTGCAAAATCTCTAAATGTAGTTGTAATATAGGTATCTATATCAACTTCTGTAAGAAATAACACTTAACATTTGAGTATCAAAACTGTAACTTGTAGCAACTCACTTTTTTGGAAGCCAGATTTTTTTAAGATACTTTCATGTAGTCTAGGCTGTCCTTGAACTTGCTATGTAGGTGAGAATTGAGGACCTTGATCCTCCTACCTCTTCCACCCAAGTGCTGCGATTAGGTTTGTGCCACCATGTCCAGAGACCAGAAAACTAATGGAGTCAAAATTTTCATGTTGTGCTCTAGGTATCTGGGCTAAGTAACAAATCTGGACTAGTGTAGAAAATCAGTGCCCATTTACAACACTGGTGTTAATGGAAAACACTTTAACTTACCAAATCCAGAATACCCAGTGTATATAAGCTGGAAACAGCCAGACCAATGCAAATTAGTAGATAATTTAGGTCTGTCCTACAGTACCAAAAATGAATTCCAAATAATTATTTCCATGTTCCTAGTAACTTTCATTTTGATGGTCATTTGGCTGACAGTATCCAACATTTGGCATACATGCTGTTTTTAAATAGTGAACTTTAATAACAGTTCAATGAGTTGTAAATCACAAGGCAGGGAGTATGTCGTTCTAGCTATCTGGGAGGCTAAGGAGGTTCCCTTAGGGTCAGCATTTCGAGACCAGCCCAACAACATAGCTGGAACTTGTTAAACAAAAAGCAACAATTGCAATCAATATGGATGTAACTGACAATTTCTGGAAGTTTGTCACTGCAGTTACAGGGACACTGATTTGAGAAGTAGCTGACAAAAGGGACTCTTCAAGTTACTTTTGTCCTAACCATGTATGCATGTTTAGTCTGTAGAGTTTGATTGTTACTCTATATATCAATTCATCAGATGGTTGTAAAGGTGTGAGGGCCAGGCCTATTGGAAGCCCTGACTGTAAAAGGTGCCCTTGGTTCTCAAGAACCCAGCTACAAGTTTTCTTGTTAAATGTTGAACATATATACATACACCTGCCTCCCAAATTAGGAACAACTATTTGGGGAGAAGTACAGACATTTCTTGGAGTTATGATAAGTGAAGCTGAATGTAATAGGATTTAAAAGCTTTGTAAATTTTAAAATTGTGTATATAATATTAAAGACCTTATAATTATGTTAGACTTCTCAACTCCCTTTAAAATACTAAGGGTTAGGTCATAACAGACTTGGAGTTGAAAAGTCCATGGAAAATGCCTACCACCATTTTGCTTCTAGTAACTGGACAAAGGGATCTTTTCCATAAACAACTTTTCCCACCACAATGAGTCAAATGCTGTAAGGTTGGTGGCTTCTAAAAAATTTCAAGGTATTAACGGTGACACAAACGAAACTTCTCTGCTCAAAAAGAGAAGGTGACATATTAGCTTTAATGTGCAAAAACCAAGAGAACTTTTTACCTGTCACTTTGCTTAGGGGTTCCATCACAGTCACTCCAACTCTGTCGATGGCAATAACGTGATGCTCACTGAGGAACTGTTTCAAAGATGGGTGTATAACTTTTTGGCACAGGACAAGATCTACATGGTCACTGACTAGCTGCCTTCCCAGATTAAGCAACTGCTCTAAAACTGCATTCTCAAGGGACACTTGGTAAGGGACTACCACAGTTCCTTCTCCAGCATTAGAAAAATCTCCGGATAAAGACACACAGAAGAGTGCCACCTTGAGGGCACTTGACTTCTGGATGGGTAATAATCTCCTTAATTGAACTTCTGACATTTCAATGAGCAGTCCAGGTAATACAGTAGAATCTGTAATTCCTTGGCCCTTTACAGGAACAACTATACTTTTCCCTAAAATGATTCGGTCTTCTGCACTTTCTGGAATTGTAAGCAAAAAAGCTTTCAAGATCAAAGCACTGATGTGATCAGTTTCCTTTCTGGTGAGCATACAGGCAGGTTTGCTGGTTAAGATACTGTGTACCAAGCCCAGGAAGATATGTGTACTACTGAAGTCAACTGGGATTCGACAGCCACAGGCTTCAGACTTGAGATAACCAGTGCAGAAACTCAGGAGGTATTTATTTAACTTAATAGCTGTCGTGGGTGTCAAGCCTATTCTCTGAATATTTTCAATCAGGTTACAGCACAGAATGGCTGTAAATAAGCCACAGTCACTGAAGCAGGTCACATGATTCTGCACAGCTGCTGTTAGGACCTTTAATACTGGATGGGTGACTGAAAGGTTTCGGAGCAGGGCTGAGGACTGTGAGGTTGTACACACACACCCTCCCAAGCCATTGTGCAGCTGCTTCAGCCTCCCTGAAGGGCCATAGCATGAGGCTAGGACTCCTTTCAAGACAGAAAGTGTGGCCCTGACTCTCTCACTTGTCAATGGTTCAGTTTTACACAACGATGGCTTCTTAGCTTCGAAACGAGACATCCTGCTTCAGGGGGAACTTGTACAGGCAGCTTTATTTTGTTTACAAGTTTTTCATTTATTGTACTGTCATATGTTTTAACATTAAAAACTATTCTTCATAGATGAAAGCTTGCATATTCACCATTATCAGCTATAAAATCAAGGTGTTTTCAGACAATAACCAGTATATATTAATTTAATGACATTAATAATTCCAAGTATTTATTTTGCTTCATTCTTCAATATTCTTTTGTCTGTCTCTGGACTGAGACCTCACAGACTCTTTTGCAGCTCTCTGTATAAAATATGTTCCAAGATGGACACCTACGAAAGTCACTCCAGCCACAAGAAGCCAGTTCTTTCTAATCCAACTGGGGTTTCTCATTTCTTCTTTTATTATCAAGTTCAGATTCAAAGTTGCTTCTTTCTATAAGAAATTAAAAACATTTAGAAGAATAATTCCGAAGTATTTTATAGGCAGCGAGTTTAATAATTTTAATATTCTGCTCCATTTTTAAAAAAAGATTTTAACTGTTACAAGCATACTGGAAATGAGAAAGGGAAACCAATGGACTTAATACTCTTGTTTCTAGGAAAAAAAATAGAACATTATAAAATTAAGTTTTTTTCACCCTTACTGACTAGTATTCATGGTACTGCAAGGTACTCTGCACAATTCCAGAAGAGAAAGGTTCCAGCTCCAAGCCCTGTGAACTACAATAGTGACCTTCCTGCACAACACGCTGGTGCAACAGTGGCACAGAGGCTAGAGTAACCAACCACTCTCTGACTGGATTTCAGGCATTTCATGAGCTGGAACTACACCTGTCATCGCCAAAGTGGTCAATAACCCGACACTAGGTAGATACTGGACCTAGAGGAAGACATGATTATTCTGCTAAAAGATAATGGCAATAAAATGACTCCTAATGACATTCTGCTGTATGCATAAATTAGTGTCTTGCTCAACCATCATCAGAGAAGCTTCCTCCTGCAGTAGATGAGAACTAGTAGAAACTCACAACTAGACAATGTGCAGAGAATGAGAGACCTTGGAACACACGGTCCTAAATGGGAAATCTTCATCAAACCCTTTCCCCTCAGGATTCAGGGGCCCATGTGGAAGAGGAGGTGGGAAAATTGTAAGAGCCAGAGGTGATGGATGACTCCAAGGAAACAGTGTCTTACAGACACAGCAGGACTGGCACACACATAAACTCACAGCAACTGTGCAGCATGCACACGTCCAAAACAAATAGGGTCCCAGTGCAAAGATGGGGAAGTAGCCATAAGTTTCCATTCCTAGCCCAGAGGCTATCTGCAACTGACAACTGCTCTCAGAGGAAATGAGTTTCTCCTAGAGTTTCACTGAGTATACAAACCACACATAAAAGCAGGTCCCATGGCCAGCTGATGGCCAACACAAAAAGACCTCAATGGTATTATTGGAGATTCGTTTTTTGGCCTCATATTGCATATTTTTTAACCTTATTTGTCTTTTGCTTGTATATTATGGTTTCTGATTTTGTGTTTTTATGGGGTTTGTTGTGTATGTCTCTATGTCTCTGCATGTGTGTTTCTTGTACATTCTTTGCCTGTTTTATTTTCTCTTTCTCTCTCTCTTCTTTCTTCCTTCCTTCCTTTTTTTTCCCCTGTTTGTTTTGAGAGAGAGAAAGCCTTGAGTTGGAAAGGTGGGGAGCTGAGGATTTGAGAGGAGATGAGGGAGGGGAAACTGTAATCAAAACATATTGTATGAAAAAAATTTATTTTCCATTAGAAAAAACAAAAATACTAAGGCCTTGTTCTCTCAGGACCTAAAAAAAAGTTTTTCTTTATTTGATGTAATTTTTATTTTTTAATCGTTTTGTTTTGCTTTGAAACTACGCTTGGACAGGACTGCATTGAAATCAAATCCTGTTTGTAAATACATAACAACAAGATAGCTGTGGTGGTTAGTTTTAACTGTTAACCTGACAAATTCTAGAATCACTGGGACATAAACTCAGTGAGGGCAATTACTCAATTAGTGGAAGACCTGCACACTATGGGTGGCACAATTCCCTAAGGAGAGGATTCTAGACTACATACAGAGAGTAAGCTGAGCCCTGGCATGCATTCAGTGACTGTGAATATGAGACCAGCCACTTTGAGTTTCTGCCACCTTGATGTCCCCACAATAGAGAACTGTAACTTGGAATTGTGAGCCAAAACCAAAACAGAACAAAACGCAAAAAAAACTTTCCTCCTTAAGTTTGCCAGGATATTTGTTAAAGCAACAGGAAAAGAAACTAAGTCAGCAGTTGCGAGCATTCCTACTGTAGAAAATCATTAGCAGCCTGCATTTAATTGAATCAATCAGCAAAACAACTGTATTAGTGTACAAACTATGTTTTAAAGACTTAGAGTCAGAGTTAATTTTATAGTTTCATCTACTAGTCAATCATTTTCAAAGTCAAAGTCAACTAATGCTCTCCAAAATGTTGGTAAATGCCAATAAAAAAAAAAAAAACCTAAAGAATGTGGTCAATGACAAAGAGAAAGGAGGTCATGCTTTGCAATTCAACTTCAAATGCTAAGCACCACACAACGTTAGTATTCTATGTAAGGGAGTAAAGGCACGCCTTGAGGCATGACATCCTGATGCCTTAATAATAAGGTATGAGAAATTCAACTTGTGGATTTTATCTGTTGAGGCCTGGTGTCATAAAGTTCAAGGTTTACTAATTATTAAATTATTATTTTCAGGAGTGTGCTAACCAGGTTTGCCATTTGGACTGAAATTGGCATCAGTCATATTAATCTTGGGTCAGCAAGATGGCTCAATGGATAAACATCTGCCATTAAGTCCTGACGACCTGAGTTTGAATCCAACATCCTCAAGGTAGAAGAAGAGAAGCAACTGATTCCCAAGTTGTCATCTGACCTCCACATGTGTGCTGTGGTACAACACCCAACAAATGAATGAATGAATAAACAAATAAATACAATTATTAAAAAATGTTTTAAAATAGTACTAATCTTACTAGTTAGCCCGTGGTACTTCTCAAAGTAGACCATGGCTTCCTATGGTGGTATAAGCCAAACTGATTTAAACAAGGAATTGTCTAAGACATGTACCACAGTCCTATCTACAAGTATTGTTCAAAACAAAGCCAACAACAACAAATAAGTAGGCTTTTGTTTTAACTCCTAGTTTACAGAAACGGATGCAATCAGCTAAATTCATAATGTGGGAAATTTCTAACAAAGTAGACAGGGGAAATGCAATCCTCTAGAAATAGGTATCATTTACCAAATGTGTGCATGTCTGGATCTAGACTCTAGGAAACCCATTTTTGTAGCTGGAAGTTTTCCTGTGTCCTGGCTAGCCGGTGGTTGGGACAAATCTCTCCCACTCGTGTCCCCCAAGTAAACACACAGAGGCTTATATTAATTATAATTGCTTGGCCATTAGCTCAGGCTTATTACTGACTAGCTTTTACACTTAAATTAACCCATAATTCTTATTTATGCTTAGCCACATGGCTTGGTACCTTTTCTCAGTTCTGCCTTCACATCTTGCTTCCTCTGTGTCTGGCTGGTGACTCGTGACTCAGCCCTTCCTCTTCCCAGAATTCTCCTTGTCTGCTTACCCTGCCTACACTTCCTGCCTGGCTACTGGTCAATCAGTGTTTTATTTATCAACCAATCAGAGCAACACATATTCACAGCATACAGAACGACATCCCACAGCACATTTTGCTTTTGTTGATTTTAAATAAAAATTCAGAAATACGATCAGGCCCTGGTTATGAAGTCACAGTAAAGAGTTTGTGTTAGTTTTCTCAGTGTGGTTAGTACAAATGTTGGTCCCATTGTAGTACTATAAATGTTTACTATTACCATTAAAGATACACACAGAAAGAATGTATAAGGGATTTAAATTCTCTATCAGTTAAAAGGATGAGGAAAAGGGTACCTAGTTCATTGGTAAAGCACTTCTAACATATGCAAAGCACTAGTTTCAACCCTTAGCACTGCCCCAAACCAAGATAGACTCACAATTAATACTGGTGAGTGTTTATATGTAGTTGGAGGAGGGTTCAGTTTCTACCTTTTGTTTTATAATGTTTGAAATTTTCTACAAAATAAAAAAGTACCAATGGACTGACAGAGAACTTTTCTTCATGAGCTTTGCTTATTTAGAATTAGTGTTTAGTGTACTCTGAACTTGGCTTTAGCTTCTACCTATCCAAAGCCAATTGAAATACTTAATTCTCTTTGCTTATCTGGCAGTGTTGGCTTCAATTTCATTTGGTTTCTCTTACTTTTTTGGAGATAATGTTATATTATCATGTAGTGCTGGGTGGTTTTGAACTTGCAATCCTCCTGCCTTAGTCTCCTAAATCCTGGGATTACAGGTGTGGACCACCACACCCAGCCCTCTAAAATCATCTATTGCTCATCGACATCTAAAATCTCTTACTATGTTCATCTAATAGTTTAGGAAATTCTTTCTTTTTCAGTTTTAGTACTTATTTTTGAGCAAGGAAGTTTTTTCTCTTCAAGTCTGACTATACATGGCCTCTCAACTTATGAGAAAAAAACTAAAGTTCTACACGCACACCCTATAATGGTCTTACAGAGTCTGAAAGGACTGATCTATAAACATCAAGCATCTAATACATCTAACTCCCTTTTCCTACCCAGGAAAAGTCTTTCTGCCTAGGAGCGGGTCAAGGGGACTTGCTGCTCTTTTCAGAGGACCCAAGTTCAGTACCCAGTACCCAAGTTGGTGGCTCAAAAAACTCCAGTTCCAGGGTTCTGTTACCTTAGGCCTTTGCGGGCACTCACACACAAGCGGTACGCATGTACACATGTGCACACAGACACAAACTCTCACACACACATAAATCCTTTTAAATACATTTAGATTTTATAACACAAAGACTATCCCTAAGGCTATTATTTTAAGTTAAGTTTCTAATATTTTGTTGTTATTCAACTTTTTATGCCAAAAAATTAACTAATATTTTAAATCATGC